TAAATTTATTGTTGTTAAAAATTATGGAAATTTACAAGTAAAAATTTAAAAAGAAAAAGAAAAGAAAACTTTCTTCTTTTCCACTTTTATATTTTCACTTGCAAATTTCCATAATTAAAAAAAAAATATATTTTTTTCATACTGTGTATAAATTTAAAATACGTTATAATAAAAGAATCTTTTTATAATAGAAAATGCTGTTAGCAGACACCATTTTTGATAAAGTTTGACAAAATGTTATTCCAAAAAACAATGCTTTTAGCATGTTTTACTAAAAACACTTCGAATCTAGCGATTTATATCGAATTTTGACCAAATTATCTACCAAAAAAAATTTATGGTAGTGGAAACACTGGTTAGAAGTCAACTCATTGTTCATTGGCTCCCACCTAATAACTTTTCCAACTTTTCGACCGAACTTTTCCTTGTTTGCAACACTACTACTGCTACTTAATTACATCTGTTAATTATCGCGATCTGTGAATTTTTACTGTACTTAGAGATCAGCGATATTTCAAGAATTGTGTTTTTTTTTACTGATATTAAAAAGTATTAAATAACGATAAATCCGTGAGTTGCTATTTATCACAATAATCTTTTTCACTGATATTTCTATTTTTCAATCGGAAACTTATAAGATATGTACAAATTCTTTAACATGATTATAAAAAATATATTAAATGAAATATATTAAGTAAAATTTGTTATATGACACCTAGAAATACAAGGAAAAGTAGATGTTCAATTTGGGCTCAGGAGCGAACGTTTGATTTAAATTAAAGATGTAGGAAACAAATTTATGGATTGGGGCTACAATATGAAAAAGAGAAATTAAGATGATACAAAGAATGTGGAACCGCTAAAATGTTGTCTTGTATAAATATTTCATTCTAAATAAATATTTAATTTTAATCTAAAAATGATTTAATTTATTAACATGTGGAATTTTCTCAAAAAATATCAGTTTCAAACCAGACGGGGAAGAGAGTAAATGTGTGAGTTCGAGCGCTCTTAGTACCTATCCACAATAAAATTCTTAAAGAAACATAAAAATCGCTCATATACAGTAGGGTGGGCCGAAAATCCGCTTTTTTAAAATTTCGTTTAGTAATAGCAAAAATTTTGTTCATTATGTTGTAAAAAAATTTTGTGTAAAAGATTAAAATTTTCGATCAACATCCTAGGCTCGCCCAACGCATTTAAAGATCAAAATGTTCAAAAAAATTTTGATACTAAAATCGGTTTCATTTCTAAAACTATCCATCTGAAGTAATTTAGTGTAAGGACCTTTTTTGTAGAGCATAAAATTTCCGATCGAATTAAGTTAGGAAAATTTTTTTTGAACATTTTGATCTTTAATTGCGCTGGGCGAGCCTAGGATGGGGATCGAAAATTTTAATCTTTTACACAAATTTTTTTTACAACATAATGAACAAATTTCTGAAACTATCCATTTGAAATAATTTTGTGTAGAGCATAAAATTTCCGATCGAAATAAATTAAGAAAAATTTTTTTTGAACATTTTGATCTTTAATTGCGTTGGGCGAGCCTAGGATGTTGATCGAAAATTTTAATCTTTTACACAAAATTTTTTTACAACATAATGAACAAAATTTTTGCTATTACTAAACGAAATTCTAAAAAAGCGGATTTTCGGCCCACCCTAATATACAGTGTACAGGTAAAATCAGGGTACCTGTTATCCAAAGGCTTAATAGAAACAATAAATAATTCCTCAAAAGGCAATCTCTCAACGGGTGAACACAGGGGTGAGGTCCGTGCGGACACGGAAGAAATAAAGTGACAGGGGACAGGTCAAGGAATTTAAAGAAAAAACGAGTCTAACCAAGAGTGGATGGGGCCATCATCTGCAGATCTGATAAGTATCAATGCAAGACCTAATACGCAAATCTGTAACAAAAACCTGACAATAATTGAGGCGTTTCTCAGAAAAACATCATTAGTCCAATATCGTCGAAATTTAGATATTTTCACCAAATGTTTCCTAACCTCCATATATACGTATACAAATAAGTGTTTCTCGTAAAAATGTCATAGGTTCCATAATAATTAAATATGAAATTTAGCTTGTTCTTCTAAAAACATCACAAGTCCACTCCGTTTCGTCTAAGAGAGTCACATGTTCATAACATGTGACATTTTTGGACACTCTAGAAAAGCTTCTACCTCTTTTACATGACCACAGCAATAGAAAATTTTATGATAACTTGATAAAAGAGCAGAAGACCATAGCATCTGACAGTCCTGATAACACGGTCGACAACGATGATAACAGCAGTGGATGCGAAGACTGAGTGTGGCAGTAATACAGTTTTTAGTTTTTTCATTTATTTTGTTACTCAGAGTTAATATTTAGTTTGTAGTGTTTGTAGTAAGGAGAATTGTTCGTTTTTTTCTTCTAAAAACCTCACATGTTCATGTATTTTTTGTGTTTTTTTCATATTCGTTTGAAAAAACAAACATGAGGAATTCTGGACGAAGTATCTTACATTTTTTTACATGTAGTTAATAGGTTAATAAAGTACTTTGGTCAAAAATGGGAATGTCGGAGAGTTTTTTTCATTTTCCCAAATATGTTAATTTTGGACTAATGATGTTTTTCCGAGAAACGCGTCAATTAATCATTATCGATAACAGTGGAAAAAAACTAAATCAAGTAAGAACGTCACATATTATATTATTGTATTATATATCGGTTCACCGAACACCGTTTTTAACGAAAAAAATATAACAACTTTGAAACATTTTTAAAAAAAATACTTACCAACTATAAATTCTTCGTAATTTATGTGTATTATCGTATATTGATAAAATTTTAACTGTCTCAAAGTTAATATTTGTAGAATATTTTTAATTTGAAATACTCAAAAAAATGTAAAAAACAACAAAATAAATCTAAGCCTACAGATGTTGACTATTGTATTCACAAAGACATCGAAGCAAGTTCATATTATTTCTGGATAAATTAAAATTCCTGGAACATATATTGAATGAATAATGAACTTGCTCCGATGCTTGCTCTGAGAAGAAACCAAGGGCTCTTTGCGTTTCTTCAATAAATTGAGGAACATGATAATTGAGAGCATGGATCTTTGGTGTACATGTAATTCCAGCTTTTGATTATTGTACTTTAAATTCTTTTATGTAGTCTTTATATTCATCTGAGTTTTGGCCAAAGCAGCCAGAGACTACTTGATTGAACGCCTTAAATACGGGTATATATTCATTGTCTAAAATAGGAATTATAAATCATTAGGTAGAAAACATCCAAACAAAGCAAAGCTTATGACAAAGTTTTCAATACAGCAATCGACTTTAGTAGTTTTCGTGCATTATTGCCATTAAATCGAAGCAACAAATTGTAAACCCAGGCATGTTCAATAGTCGGTATATATAGGCAAAAGAGGATTAGTTTTTAAACGAATCTCACTTATAATTGGCGGCTACTTTTAACAAAAATAAATAGTGTTTCTATGCGAGGTCAAATATCAGTGGTCTAAACTATACAAACCTATTTCAATAAAAAATTGATATATTATCGACAAAATTATAAAAAACTAAGAAAGAAAAAGTTTCTTTTTCATGCATTTTTTATTACCTACTAAAGAAATAAATTATAATTCATATTTTAAATATAGCAACCTACAGTTTTTTGACAAAATTTTTGACAGATCTACATGGAAGATTTTCATTTTACTTTTTTTTTAATACTTAGTTGGTAAGTATTTTTTTTTAAATGTTTCAAAGTTGTTCTTTTTTTTTCGTTAAAAACGGTGTTCGGTGAACCGTGATATATAAGCATAAACTTTCAGGCCAGCCCCATAAAATTAAAGCTTTATAAAGATAACGAAAGTAAAATAAACGTAATACGTTACACCACAGGGACGGCTTTATCCTATGTATATCAATTACATATAATTCAAACTTGGTAGAAAATAAAATGTTTGCTAAGATTTAATTAAAGGTAAATGGTATGTATAATACATTAATTTTAACAATGAAATAAATGTAAGAAAACAAGCTACTAGTAGATTCTAAGGTGGGGAAAGTAAAAACAACACCCCAGTGGGGTAAACAACTGCGCGCAGCAGATTCCGAATTCCGGCAGACCCGGACAGAGACCCGGATGAAATACAAGACCAGCAAGGATGTCCAAGCAACGTACTAATAACCCAAGCCTCATTCATGAACCCCAATTCATGAACCCCAATTGAATGGGGTCAATACTAATACCCTGGTTGAGGGGGAGTCCGGATTGTACTTAATTTTGGGTCAGTTCAAAGCCCCCAAAAACCAACTTTTGCCCCTCCTAGTCCTACACTCCACTAGACTAAATCGGGCGTATGGTCGGCCCGGCGACAAAATTCCGGGAATGGCCTTAACCATCGACACTGTCATCCACGACCTCCTAGGAAGATTAACTGCCGGGGCGAAAATTCGGATCCACCGAACACAGGTAACGCTGTGCAGTTGCGGCTTCGTATAGAACCGAAAGGGGGTAAAATAATCCTGAAAGATCAGTGTATATTCATACTCATACTCATTTTCTCGGTGGTTTGTTAATTTGACTCTAGTGATTTTGTCGCCATAATTTGTTCTTACCCCCACGTTTTCGTTAAGTCAAAAAAATATCCTGCTTAATCAAACCTAATGTGGTATTACATTCGATAAAATTTGGATTAGTTGTCACATTTGACAAAAAATATATTATATAGAAATGTCAACCTCAGCTCGCTTACTTGGTATGTTTCCATAACAACCGTTATTAGATATGGATAATTTGCGCTTACATAACCCCCAATCGCGTGGTTGTTAAGCATTATATTGAAAATGAAATTTACATACATAACTTTACATATGTATTTTAATATTATTATTAATTATCTTTTGTATATCATATTTTTAATAGATTTTATTTTTATAAAAAAGTAAATATGTACCGGTACTTTTTTGACAAAAAAATCTTTTAATATTTTAGGAACTCTAAAACTAAAACACCTATTTAGTCCGTCCGTGATGCGTTGGTCCCTAGCGGCCCACGACATTTGTTTTACCTGTTGGCAACACTCCTACCTGTTTAGTTTGGGCAAATGCATACCGGTCATACGAGGCGCTGGCGTCTACCAGGCCGCCGTCGATTTTTGCATCGAGCAACTCGCCAAGGGCGGCTGGGTGCACGTGTTTCCAGAAGGTAAGTCAGATTTGACGTTTATAATGTTTTTAAGGCTATATAAGTGTCAAATGATGACATTAAAAGTGCACAGATGTTTAACGAACGGCTTATGTTATTTAATGGTTTAAATCGTACGCAGTAAACTAAATATTAGTTTTAACAGCAGTAAAGCATGCGCAATTCAAATTAAGAGTTAAACCTACAAAATTTTATAAAATCTTTTAAAAATCATTTAGTTTTAAATTAAAACTTTTAATCATTTTAATAACTAAAACTTTCCTTATTAAATTTCAGAAAAATATTTATGAAAAAATATTATATAAATGTTTATACTTAGGTATAAGTAATGGATGCCATCTTAAAAAAACTCATTATGTCGACCTGAAAAAAATCTGCCCTTCCCACTAATAACCCTCAAAAATACCAGGCAAATAGGAATTATCTTAATATCGTAAAATTATGACTTATGAGTAACATTTATCATTAGGTAAAAATTCTGACGTTAAAATTACCGTTAAATTTTCCTTAGGTGAAATACACTTAAGCCCGCTGCACAACAGCCCGGTAACTGGAACGGGAACGGGAAAATAAACGGTAAAGGTGGGAGAGACTCAGCGAACCCATCTATCAACAGTGGTTTTTTAGTCTCTCCCACCTTTATTGTTAGGATTCCCGTTCCCGTTCCCGTTACCGGGCTATTGTGCAGCGGGCTTTATAAGTTATTTTCTTTCGTAAAAATTACGTCCATCATAATACTTCAAAGTGTTGAAAGTTAAGGGTTAGGTAAAAATAACATAAATAAAACTTATTAAATAACTTTAAAAAAAAGTTTTACTTCAAAGTAAATTTTTATGGTTAATTTAACAAAATATTTACTTATATTAACTAATATTGCCTCAAAGCTCTATGCTTTTACTTAAAATGCTGCTTAATATACCGGGTGTATCTGAGAATAGGCGCACCCCTGTAACTTTTTTATTTATAAAGATAGACACATGAAATTTAGCATGGTTAATTAGGATATAAAATGCCGCTTATAAGATAATAAAACGAATTTTTTGAACTTCCGGTTTTGCCGGAAATGATATTAACTTTCGATTTTTAAATGGAACACCCTATATATTTTTACATTTTTAGAATCCTGAGAAAATGCTGAGTCGGACAGCATCCTCAAATTGACCTTTCAAAGTTTCGTCATCAGAAAATGCATCAATGATGCAGCATCATCAGAAAGATCAATCTAGAGTTCTTTGAACTATTTGAGAAAAACGAATTTTGACAAGTTGAGACTGCTGGGAATAGCTGAATAACAACTTTCTAAGGCAAGTTCCATTTTTAAGGCATTGTGTGAATCCATTAGAAGAAAATAAGATAGTTCAAAGCACTCTAGATTGATCTTTATGATGATACATTTTCTGATGACGAAACGTCAAAAGGTCAATTTGAGGATCAGCGCCGGATTATAAAAATTTGCGCCCCGGGTCTAATAAAAATTTTCCGCCCCTACCTATATAATAAATTCAAAGAAATGTCACTTCTTAACAAAAGGATTTTATTTAAACATAAACATTAGGGTTGTAGTATTTTTTCGAAATTTTTTTGATTTTGGAGATCAAATAAAAAAATAAGTCTAAAGTATTCGAGTTTCAACAGATAAAAAAATTTTAGACGTCGCTCAAAACTTTTTTAAACCAACCTTTTTTCTCAAAATCTTTGGCTTCTCACTATTTTTTTTGTAGGTCATATAGGAAAAGAATACATTTTTAAGTAAAAATATTATTGGTCGCTCAATATTTTTGAAATACATTTCTTGATTTTTTTAATAATTTTGATCTTGTAACCACTACTATTTTTCCAATTTAGTTGATTTTTTTGAGCGACGTTTATTTTTTTTTGAGTTGAAACTTGAATACTTTAAACTTAAATTGTTTCATGTGAGCTCCGAAATAAAAAAAAATGTCGAAAAAATATTGCCACCCTAAAAACATAAACAAAAACTATATAAAAAACAAATACCTAAATAAGAAAATTAACATTTTGCCAACTCAACTTTGCGTGCTTTTAGAGAAGCAAATTTGTTTATCGCAATATTGACGTCATCTTTCAATAGGCTAATACCTATACTGTATACATACATATATATATATGACTGGTACTGTATATAACTATAGTTTTAAACTAATTTAAATTAATAGTTGTTCGTAGTGTAATAAAATATTCTTATATTAAAAAACCTTTACGTCCATACGCATCGCATCGGTGGAAATAATCAATTTCTGCAAACTAAAGTTCTTTTCGCCCAACAACTTGTCGGGCGCCCTACGTAATACGTGACATGACATATTTCGTATACTATGCATAGATAATAATTAATACTATGGCAACAATCACGGTTATAATTTAAATAATTTTTTTATTAAAACTGATTAATACACATAAAAAAAGGGGAAAACCCTTTAGGTTGTAGTAAAAAACAAAAATTACCAGTCAAAAATTTTGCGCCCCCTGTAAGCTTGCGCCCCGGGTCTATAGACCCCCAAAGACCCCCCCTAAATCCGGCGCTGTTGAGGATGCTATCTGACTCAGAATTTCCTCAGGATTCCAAATATGTAAAAATATATAGGGCATTCCATTTAAAAATCGAAAGTTGGTATCATTTCCGGCGAAACCGGAAGTTCATAAAATTCAGTTTGGACTCTTATAAGTGGCATTTTATATCATAATTAACCATGAAAAATTTCATTTGTCTATCTTTATAAATAAAAAAGTTACAGGGGTGCGCCTATTCTTAGATACACCCGGTATATATATATTTTAAAATCATTTAGACATGCGCAATTAAAAAAGTTTTTATTGCGCAATTACCGTTTTTTTTTTTAAGAAAAGCTGCTTTTATTTTAGCTAAAGATAACATTTTTACCTCAAAATTAAGTACTAAATTTCATTTTATATACCTCGGGAAAAACCTGTTAATTGACACATTTATTTTTTTGGAGGACATGTTTTTCACTATTTTTTAATATTAAAAATCTAAACATTAAAAATTCGTTTCTTGTAAAAATCGTATAAAAAAATCCGATTTTCAATGGCGTAAAACATTTCTTTCTCCAAAAAAGTTTTTCATCTGGAGTCTTCAAATGTCAAATATTAAACATTAACATGCGCAGATTGATGTGCAAAGAACCAACGCGTGCTCAGTTTACTAAATCAAGACTTCCAACGTAGAACACATGCGCAGTGTCAAATTAAGACACCTACGCATGCGCACTACCAGAAAATCTTCCAAAAACATCAAAATGGCGACTTTTCGTAGGCAAAGTGAACATGACCAAAGAAAACATCCGGCTGAAGTGGGGCGTGGGTCGTATGATATTCGAATCGCCCGTGACGCCCATAGTGGTGCCGATTTGGCACACGGGCATGGATGACGTGTTGCCAAATGACCCGCCTTACGTTTTGCAACTGCGCAAAAATTTGACCTTTAACTACGGGGATCCCATCGACATGACGCATATGGTGAAGATGCTGCGCGCCAAAAATGCCACCGAAGAGGAGGCGCGCAAACACATCACCGACTTTCTGCAAGATCGGTAAGAAATTTGATTTGAGAAAGTAGACTTCTTATCTCAAAATAAGTCAATTCATTTCTACTTACCCATATGCAAAGTTGCTTTGCTTAGCCACTGGAGGGTTTTAAGGTTAGTTGACTTTATACTTTTAATTGGGGTGTTAAAACAAATTTAGACGTAATTTTAGTCGCCATTTATTTTTGGTTATTTTGCAGATCCGGAAAAATAGTTTTTGAAATATTTTTTTTTTAAATTAACCGATGACACTCCGCGTGACGTCACACTTTTATCAACGCAACGTCAACTAACTTTAAAGCTCCGTAGGGGCTAAACAAAATAACTTTGATAGGCTATTTTGTTTTTTAGGTTGTTAAAACTAAAATCAGAAACAGAGGTGCTACACAAGGATAACTTTAAAGCGAAATCATGATGTCCCTAACAATAGAAATAATTTATTTATTATTATTTTTTAACTGTGACTGCTAGATGTCTGCAAAACGTGATTATTAATTATTGTTATTATCTAATTAATGCAACAGGGGTACAATTTTCTCTGTTACTTTTATTAAGTTTTAAAACCAGCCGTTTTAAATTACGTAATGCTAGTCATTGTAGAATATTATATTGCCATTTTGTGTCTATTTATATATACACATACAAATATATTTTTAAGGTTTATTTACTATGCAAAAACAACAGTAAATAAATATTGTGAGCTACGTACTATGACTTTTTGACATACTTAATAATATTGCTTATAGGTAGAAAAAATTGTTTTTGGATAGTAAGCACTGTAGTTTATTAGGTATTGTCTAATAAATTTACATACATTTTCTGTCAAAATTTAAATTTTTTAGGGAAATTTACATTGATCAAAATAATATTTTTTAAAGCAAGACAATGAAAAAAATGAACGCAATAAAAAACACTATATTCTAAATTTAACAAAATTTAAATGTCTTTATTTTTAAAAGTCAGGGATTATAATATAAGGGGGGTTTTAAGGGTCGAAATGTATTGGCTGTATAATATAGGTTTGTTCCTAAAAGAGTCCCAAAAGTGTCTAAAAAGTCAGACGACTGCACGTTTTTAGACACCCCCACTCTTGTAGGAAAAAACCTTATATAATAATTAAAAGTTAGGACTTGTTTTACTTTGTCATCAAAGTAATTTAAATGTGTCTATTTTCGTATATATAATTAATCATTAACGCAATAAAATACCATATCTAATTTAAACTTTGCTAAATGAAGTAGTTTAAATATCGCAATTTGTTAGATTTTATATTATAATAACTATTATTCAGGAGTTAGAACTTTTTGTAATTTTCTATCTCTTGAAGTTCCTGTTTGAACCATTTTGTTAATTAATTAATTAATTTGTTATGCAGCGTGCTTTTACAAAACGCGTTTTATGTTGTATTTTGCAGTATTCTTGTTTTTTAATTTTTGTATTCAAAATTCATTCCAATTCCATTTTTACATTTTTGTTTACTGTAACACAAAATACCTCTTTTAATTTTTTTTTTGATAATTTTGTTATACAATTCGTTAAAAATGATTTACGGTTGTTGTGAATATTTTTTATTTAATAAATTGTAAATAATAAGAATTGTTTTACTATACAAAAAATAAAATTAAAGGTCTTGATCAACAAACTCTTCAAAAATATCATCAGGTTCATCCTCATTTGTTTCATTTTTGACACATTTTATTTTCTCAATTTTATTATCTTTTTTAAAATGTTTTGTATGTCTTCTGAATGCACTCAAATTGTTGCACTTATTTTTGAGATTCTGATGCCTCATAATATGTGTTTTAAGACTATATTTATTAGTAGTCTTAAAACCACACTCTGGGCATACATGCTCCGTATTATGCCCGTTTTTGTGGTACTTAAATCTGTATTTATCCGTTGTTTTGAATGGGCATTTTAAGCATTTGTAATAACATATTTTACTAGAATGTTTTTGGACGTGATAAGTGTATCTATACTTGTTTTTTGACTGGAAGTTACATTTTGGGCACTTATATAGAGAGTTATGTTCTTCTAAGTGGGTTTTGTATCTGTATTTATCCTTAGTTTTAAATCTGCATGAAAAAATTGTGCATTTATAAATTTCTAAATCTTTTGTTTCAGTTGCTCTGAAAAAAAAAGAAAACTCAAATACCTACATTTATTATAAAAATAACAAAACTTACACCATATATTTACAAAACTTCTCTACTTTATTGAAACATTCCCCAAATGTAGATACATCTTCTTGAACACTATCTTTTTTCTCTGTACCATCTATTTTCAAACACACTGTATCACTTACATTCCTTACTGTCTCACATTCTGAATGCTGTGTAGCTTCATGACTTACAAGAAGATATTTATCAAAACTTGTATACATACAAAATTGGCACTTATAGTATTTTTGCTCTCCTTCATGTTTGTTAAGATGATATTGAAATCTGTATTTATTTCTCGATGAAAATGTACACTTTGGGCACTGGTATTGTGTACCGTGTTCCTCCATATGATAATTCAGCCTGATTATGTTGGTTGTAGTAAAATTACAATAAATATCAAAGCATTTATGCTGTTTTAAAGTTGTATTCCTAAAATAAAATATAAAAATATTTCTAAAACAAATTTTACTTAAACTCTATTTTGATTAATCAAATCGATGTTTTGTTTGTTTTTATTGGATGGATAATAAAACACCAAAAAATATAAAAATAAACGTATATTTTGTCACAATAAAAAGTAAAAATAATTACACAATAAATAAAGTAGGATTCATGGTTTATGTGTTCACAACAAAATCACTTTTATTAACCTTTGGTGTGCATATATATTTTCTGGTATAATTAATTACTGCATAGTATGTGGGGTCACCATGACCTCAAAAGGTACAAGATGCGTAATAAATCGCATATGCGATTATATATATATATATATATTATATTATAATAATAGAGTGATATTTGCAGAAATGCTTTTTACAGGACTTTTGAACACACTGCAGTGTGAATCATGAATGCATCGCATATTTGTATTTTTAGGTTTAGTTATTATGTTTGACATAAGAAAAAAAATTACCAATGGCCATATGCAACTTGCATAAAATTTAGAAAATACTAGGTTTGGAATAATTTTATGTACCTTTTCGAAAAACTGATTTGTATATACCTACCTTGTATTATATATCTTAAATCAAAGTAACTAAATTCGATCGCATATTATCTCATAATGTGTACATTAAATAATGCATTGTAGGGTCAAATTGAATTAAGATCATATAGACCCCAACAAAGCACTCCAAAGGTTAATATCATTGCAAATGTCTTATTTACTAAATTTAATTTTTAAATTAATACTGACTTCAATAGTTTTAGATTATGTACATCAATTTAGAATTTATAGATTGCCCTGCTTAAAATACCCCATAGAGACCCTGTTCAAACTGATATATATTTGTATTGGGATGTATGGTGTTTCTATAGGGTGTATCGGTTTGTATAGGACCCATAGTTGAGATTTATGGTTGTTCTATAGGGATATCCACCCTTGATTTATTTGCTATCGGTTTTAATGGGGAAAATAAACATAAATGTAGAAATTAGTTTTTCCCCTATACGACCCCATAGGTTTTAATAAAATTTTGTCAAATGTTTTATGGTTGCTCTATAGGGATATCCCTATATATCCTTCATTGAGTTATTTGCTATCGGTCTCAATAGGGAAAATGTAAAAGTTATGGTGTGCCTATAGGTATTATAATTTCCCATACATTTTCGATCGGGCCGTATCCGGAAGAAACCATGGACAAATGCACTTATTGAATCCGGTAGCGCCCAATAGATTATTTTGTATAGGTCTCTATGGGGTATTTTAAGCAGGGTGTATTTTAAATACTGGTACCATTTTACTGTTTCTAACAAAAATGTTTTAATTTTAGGAGCGTTTTTTTAAATTTCCGTCTACTATCTGTTGAAAATAATCTCTACAGAAGGCAATAACCATATTAGCAAGGTGACCAACCGTACCGGTTTGGCCGGGACAGGTTCCATTTTATGGAACTCCGTCCCGGAAAAATAACGTGCCCCGCTTTTATTTGTTTCTTACGTAATTGTACCCGAATGACGTTTTTAATAGTATTTCTTATACCGAAGAAACACAGTTCACAAAATAAAATACTGCAAGATACTCAATTTGGATTGCCAGATTTTCGGCGATCTGATTTGTAAGTGCATGTCAAATAAAATTCCTTTATAACTTGCTTAATACATATTTTTTAATTTCTTCCTAACGCTAGCTTTTAAGCAAATTAAAAGTAATAATTGCATTTTGTACTGACACACCCCACCTGATCAAGTTTGACTTATTTTGAGTTTTGTAATTTGTTCCTGTTATTTTAAACATTTATAAATAACAATGCTATTATATATTTATTAATGTAGGCAATACTACCAGATTTCGAAAAAAAATACATGAAATTGTAATATTTTTTTCAAATCTATCTAATAATTTCGTTGATAATTTTGTATTAATCATTATAATAGAAAGAACATATAAAGTAAGCACCGAAAAACTTGCGTATGTCCCCAGCAACCATAAGATTTTTGGTCCCGACAGACCACACAGTTGGCGAAGGGTTAAGCAGCTGGTTAGCCTAACCTAGGGCGTTTTTAAAAATAGTACTTTTTTAGTTTAATAACCTTGCCTGTAGATAAGAGAAAGCATAAAAGGGAATACTGTGCTCTGATTGTTTTATTGCTTTTTATAGAGATGCTCTGATTGTTTTATTGCTTTTTATAGAGATAATTTTCTATAGAATATTTTTGGACGTTTCTAAAAACCAATAGAAAAATTCAAATTCAATCATGTTTGTATCTTTTAACCAATCAAAACATTATATTGGGAATACTGACATTATTTTCGAGAAAATAATATGACGCAAAAATAATATGATATCTGTCAAAACCACCTAACAAAATTCTATAATAAAAGTCAAAAAATAACACTATGATAGTTCGAATTACTAACATTGAGTACACCCACCTATATTACCTAATTTTTGTATGTTGATTTCAAAAATGCCACTCGTTTTGCTCCAGGATTCGAAATAATTGCGTAAAAAAATGCTCTGTCCAATTATCTCAAAGTGTAAGTTTTTCGTCAATATTTTGATTATTTATTAAATTATTTTGCCTTAAATCTATTTTGGATGTTCAGTATATTTTTGACATTTTTTGCTAAAAATATACAGGGACTAAATAAATTTTAGAAGTATTATATAAGGGATATTTAATAAAGGACTTTTCTGCAGAGAAGTGCTTTATTAAATACCAAAACTAAAATTATAATGTTTTTTTTGGTAAAAAGTATCATTTTTTGAAATTGTTGGGTCGTTTCTTTTTAATTAAAACAACAATTAAAAAACCAATTAAATTGAGAAGGTAGTAAATGGGTTTTGGTATAAACATTACTCTTCGACTATTATTTGATATTTTTTTATTTACATCATGCCTAAAGTACACAAAAATGTAATCTCCATCTTATTTATTAGGTCTTTTCAAAATTTAATATCGAATTAAAGTATAAAGGCTCCTTTATCTACTTTAAGCACATTAAAGTGCATCTATTAATTTTTGACATTTAAAAATTACACTTTAAATTGTATTTTTACTTGAAAGTGATTTTAAGAACCAAAAACCAAGTGGTAATGGAAGTGGCAGAGAAAGAGAAAGGAGACGAACCTTTATGTCGTCGTTGTAAATTTGTTTTGTTTTTGTTGCGGTACCTTTACGCCCAAGAAAAACCAACGCAATATTTCTTTACAAAATTTTATGAGATATACCTACTACTTTACATTTGCAGAAATATTAAATGGACCTGATATACGACGTTTAATGAAAGATCAAACATTCAAAAATGCTCTTAAAGTTGACGAGCTTGTCATTGAAAATTTTCTTGGTTCATATTGGGCCTAAAATTGGCACCAATTCATTGAAAAAATGCTCTCCGTTTTGTAAAGAATTAGCGTTAATATGTCATTTAAAATACATTTTTTTTCATCCTGATAAATTTGCCGAACTGATGGAGAACGATTTCACCAAGCAACTGAAAATCTAGAGCATTTGTAGATATCTATGGATATAGCGGAAAGAAGTTGGATTCATTGCTAGAAGACATTTTCTGGAATTTGCAGCAAAAGATGTACGACGACGATGAGGATTAAGTACAATAATACTATAATTTAATTCGATATTTGATACTATTTAATAAATTTAAGGTAATAAAAAGGAAAATTATGCAATGCATTAATTTTGTGGGCTTAATTTGGATAAAAAATACCTAAACTTGTTTACTTTGTTGCCCTTAAAATTCAATAATTAAAATAAACGACCAAAAATGTCAAATGTGTTTTTTTTACATAAAATACTTTAAAATTTAGTTTTAGTATTTAAAAAGTAATATTGTTAAGATAAATATGATCTATTTGCCGTATACCAATTACTTTAGCACATTTAAGATAAATTTAAGCCAAAATAATTTAATAAATAATTAAAATACTAGGTATATTTATAACAAAAAAACTTACATTTTAAGGTGATTGAGAAGAGCATTTTATTACAAAATTATTTTAAATCCTAGACGTCCTAAAGAAAAACAAATGACATTTTTGAAATCAGCGGCCCAAAATTAGTTAAACTAAGCTGGAGTACTCAATGTTAGGAAAAAAAAGTTTCTAAAAGTATCATAGTGAAAACTTTTGAATACCACCCAAGAGTTTAATAAATTGGAAATTCTCTTAAACTTGTCATGTTTTCAAAATCTCTGTCGAATTATTTTCAATTTATTCAAACACTTGTGATATTAATGTTAAAAATAGAATCGCAAGTTCTCATTAGAGATGTATATGGTAAAATTGTAATCTTACACTTAAGTTTCTTTCAGTATGGGCGTAGTATATACAAATATACAAAAAAACTTCAATAAGTATGTATTAGGCTATGCCTTCTCAAGTTAATCTTCCATCTTGTGGGATATCCGCATTCCTTACATTTAAAAATATTCTCATTCTGATCTTTATGTAGATTTTCGTGTTTTCTAAATGAAGCCACGTATAAACTCTTAAAAGGGCACATTTCGCACTTGTAAACGTTTAAATTAGCGTCATGCAGCTGCATATGATACATAAAAGAAACATTATGGTTGGCCTGAAAGTTACACTGGTCGCATTTGTAGACGATATCTTCAGTAGTTTTATGTAACGCTATGTGTTCGTTGAGTTTGTCTTTACAACGACTTTTAAACTCACATCTGGGACATCCGTACATTTTTATGACCTTCTTAACGTTGGCAGAATGTGTGGCTATGTGTCTGGTGAGGTTCCCTTTCCATTTTGTTTTAAAATCGCATAAAGTGCAGCTGTGACAGTTTTCGTCACCTGCATGTGTTATTTGATGTTTTTTCAGTATGCTGGGTTTGTCAGATTTGAACTCGCAGTGTTCACATTGTTGCGTTTCAGTTATCTTTTTAGGGGTTTCTTTTTTAATTTCTTTTATCTCGTTTTTGTTTATCTTTTCGTTTTTTATATGTGCGTCTTTATGGCGATCTTTATGGCGATTCAGAGATCCTCTATATCTGGTTTGGAAGGTGCATATGTCACAATTGTAAACCTTTTTTTCCACATGCAGTTTAAGATGTACCTTTAGGTTTTCTAAAGTGGTGGCTTGGAAACCACAAGTTTGGCATTTCAGGGTTAACCATTGGTTTTCAGATGAGCTAAAAAATACCATAATTAGTCACGATTTGATATAGTTTTACTACAATTTACCTATATCAACATAAAGACAGTTTTATACAGTCTAATTACAAAGTGACTACTGCAGCGGTTCCTAAACTTTTAAGGCCACGGAACACTCAACCTTTTATTTTATGGAACCCCACACCAAATAATAATAAATAAAAGATACTGTGATTTTAATTATAATTAAAAAATATGCCCACGCGGTTTATTTGGAAGCACCTATTAACTAATGTAACTAATACGCGGAACCCTGCGTACTTTTCCACAGAACCCACTTTAGGAATCGCTGCACTACTGTATAAATACTGTACAATTCGGGCGTTAAAATAAAACACAGACATACAAAATATACACATTTTATTATTTTTTAACCTTCTTATAATGACTCTCAACATGCTTATTATAATTCCTAACGAACTTAGTTCTATAGCTACAAAACTTGCAGTCAAAAGTATCACATTCATCCATGCTTTTATGACGTAATAAATGTTCACTCAAACTTTTTTTAAACCGCGTTGAATAGTGACATTCAGTGCATTTGTACATAACTATTTCTTCGGGTTTTTTGTGTATGAACGAATGTTCTCTAAGGTGGTCTTTTCTTTTGAAAGCTCTTCCGCATATTGGGCAGTCATGCGTAGCTACTTCGTCTATGTCTCTATGTGTCGCTATATGTCTGTTGAACGCGTTTCTTTTTTGTGTACTATAGTCACACTCCAAACATTGCAAAATGTTCTTTTGTTTAATGACGTCATGCGTTTGTAAATGTTCTGACAACTCCTTGCGGATTTTACTTTCAAAATCACAATAATTACACGTGTATTTTTTGTCGTGGTTTCTCAAATGCCTTAACCAATGGTCTCTTCTTTTCGCCGTAAAGTTACACAACTCGCACTTGTGAACTTTAATTTCGTCACTTTTTTTGTGCTTCAAAGCGTGTCTTTTTAGGTATCTTTTTTTTAGGGTTGTGTAGCTACATTCCGGGCACTTAAAGATTAGAAGGGGGTCATCAAAAGCCCTGAAAATAATCTCCAGATAAAATCATTTTTAAAGCATGACACAACTAGACGTACTAAAAAGACTTACCAATAAATTAAGGTTAGAAAAATAACACAATTTGTTATTGAATACATAAACTACTTTATTAAATATATATCAGCCCAGTCACTTTATTTTACAGAAGAAAATGACTGGGCTAAATCACAATACAAATATACTATTTCTTTAAATGTGTTTTCTTATGTCTAATTAAATGGTGTTTCTGTTTTGTTGAATAGCAACATTTCTCACAGCTATAAACCTTCTGGGCCTGTTCAGTAACCAACAAATTTTCATGGGTGACATTTTTATGCCATTCCAGCGCGTTTTCAAAGTTTGTTTGGAAGAAACATTGCCCACATTTAAATGTTAGAGGATCTTTATGAGACGCTAAATGTTTCTCAAAACGTTCTTTGTTATTTGTTGTGAAATCACATGATGAACATTTCAGATTCTGTAGTTGAAGCTTTTCATTTTTTTTATTGTGTGTTATCAGGTGTCTATATAGAGATTCTCTTACTGAAAACTTTTTATCGCAAACGTTACACAAATGCACTTTTAATTCCAAATGAGTTTTATTGTGATCCACCATTCTATATTTTCTAGTGGTAGTATATGAACATAATTTACATTCATATACTTTACTTGTAGGTTGACAAGTTCTCATATGAAACCATTTATCATGAGAACTCATAGAAACGAAGTCACATTGTTTACAAACCACTGGTTTTTTATGCAATAAAGAATGTCTTTTGATGTGTCTGTCAAGAATTAGTTTGTTTGTGGTGAAATATGAACATAAATGGCATTTTAACACGTTTTCCCTTGTCAAGATTACTTTAAGATCTTTGGCTTTAGATTGTTCTTTGGGAATCATATTAGACAGTATAATAACAAGCTCTCTTTCATTATTATTTTTAAATAAATGAAGATGACGATTTCTCGCGATTTCTTCCTTTGATGAAATTTGTTTTGAGGTTTTCCTGATATTCTTCTTCAACTGTTGGTATTTCTGAATGTCAACTTTCAGTTTTAGTACCATGTCATTGGATATCTCCTTGTCGTCCATTTGGACACAATCTTGGATTGGTAAATGGTTCACTTTTTTATTTAGTTGGGAATTTGTAGAGTTTTGATTTTCTTTATCATTGTATGATTTTTTATCTCTATTGGCATTTTTTGACAATTTTTGACGAGTTTGTAAGTTTTTACATTTAAATTCACGAAATCTCTTTGTAAATCTGATCTTTCTCTTGGATTTCCTATTTCTGAAATAAAAAGATTATTATTAAATAAATCATTGAGAACTGTCTTTACCCACACTTTCTTAATTGAAATGTTACTGAAATAAAACAAAAACACTGTTAAACTACTTTATTTTCTCAATTAACATTAATATTATTGGAAATATTTTTTTCCTTTTTCAAATGAGTTAACTTATGCTTCTTTAACCTAGGCTTAGCTTTGGTTTTAAAATCGCACTCGTCACACCTAAACATATCGGCATCATCTACATTCTTATGCACTAAAAGATGTACTTGTAGATTGTCCCGCCTCTTAGACTTATAGGAACACATATTGCAATGATACATGGTTACTTCATCTTCACTTCTATGGGTTAACATGTGGTTTTTTATGTGCTGGGGTGTTCTAGATTGATATGGGCAGTCTGGGCATTGATACATTTTGACCTCATCAGAGCTTTTGTGCTTGTTTTGGTGTAGAGTTAAGTAGTACTTAAGTTTCGTTTTAAATGGACATAATGAACATTGAAAACCTTCCACTTCATCAAGTGTTTTATGTGTAAACATGTGTTTGTTCATATAGGCTCTATTCTTAGCTTTATAGTCACACTGAGTGCACTGATAGTGTGGTATTTCATCCACATTTTTGTGTACTAAAGAATGTCTGGTTAGGTATTTTCTTTTAGTAGTTTCATATGAGCAATCAGGGCACTTTAAAACCTCCTTAACTTTCTCTACAACTTCTTTTTTTATGTGAGTTTTTAAGTGATAATTTAAACTCCCTTTTCTTTTGGTTTTATAGTCACACTCAGTGCAGTGAAATATTGTGACTTTGTCATCACTTTTATGCACTAACATGTGTCTGTTTAAGTATTTTATGCTTGTGGCTTTGTAAGAGCACATAGAGCATTGGATGGTTTTGGTATTTTGTTCTTTGTGAGTTGTTTTATGTTTATTTAATACTTTTTGATTTGAGGTTGTGAAATTGCACTGTTTGCAGTTGTATTTGTTTGAGGGTGATGGTTCAGGTAAATCTCTGAAAATAATAAGAGAAAACCCTGAGATTTTGTGTGTTTTTGTTTTAATATCACTAATATTTTTTATATCTAAATGTGAGGGTGATTATTTCCATGGTAAACTTTTTGGCAAAAAAAAATTTGTTTACTTACCTTTTTAGTAAATGTACAAAATAAAAATAAAGTCTACTTTAAAAGAAACTTCATTGTCAATTAAATGATGTTTATTTTTTTTAGTTATTTTTTTAAATATCAACATTTTTAGTTACTTACCATTAAAAACATAAATAAAACAAAAAATTTGTGGTCATAATGCATTTTTTACTATTTATGTTCACCAAAATAAATAATACGAAATTACCTATAAAGAGCATAACAAATAAAGAAAATCATATAAAAAATATATACCTAACATGAAATAATATGTTTGCATTTTGACCACTTATTTTTACACAATAAAATAGGCAAATACCTATATTATATAAAACAAATATACCACAATCTTCACCAAAACTCAAAAACAAAGAAAAATATTGTGATATTTGCTGGTGTAAATAAAATAAAATCAAATGCATATGTTTCAAGGGTCACATTATGTAATAAAAAGATATGGTAAAATTTATAATACTCAACTATAAAACTTTTATAAATCAACAAATATATTATTGTTACCTTATGTTTTACATATTATGACCTTAAACTAAACAAAATCTGTACTAAAAAGGTAAACAAATGTAATTCAATTTTTTGTAAAAAATAAACAAAATTTAATATACAATTAGTTTACTGGTAAAAAAGTATGTATTCTCTTACCTAGTATCTAGAGCAGCACCTTCTTCCATCTCAACTTTAGCCTCAATCATATCAAACCCCTCAGGGGGTTCATCTTTCATCCCATCAAAATCCATTGTGTCACAGGAATCATTTTCAGAGTCACTATCTCTCTCCATTTTTACCATGGAATTGCTTGTTGAGGGCTGAGATTCACTATAACCTAAGAAAATAACAAAAATAAGTTTTAAAAACACATAAATTATCATAAATTTATGATAATTTTCTATATTTCAGCATTTCAGAAGAAAAGGTAGGTAGGTATTATTTTATAGTTGTTGTTAATTTAATTTAAACAAACTTCTAGTTTGCATTTATTTTTAATAAATTAGAAGATACTGTGTGCCAGTAACTTACCTACTCCCAACTCATTTTTATTTCTGGCAACCCTATTTATGGTATATATTTTGACAATGTGTTTTTACCATTCTTTTTTGGTTTTGACATAAAAATTGTATGTTTCAAAAATTTCAAATGTGTTTTTAACATTCTGAATTTTAATTTTATGCGTTGTTTGACTATTTAGCTGACAAAAAGCCTATTTATTTCATAAGATACAGCAGGAAAAGAGACATTTTAAAAAAATTGCAAACTTACCATAACCATTGCTAATTTCACTGCATCCAACAAGATCGTTTATATTTATGTTTACAGGGTTGTTTTGCTCGAACGAGGAGGACATGTTGAACTAAAACTATAATTGATGCTTCCACATGCACTAAACACTATTTTTAACGAATTTGTGTAAGAATTACATTGTTTGTCACTTTTTTATGGGGAAATTTTCTAGATTCACAAGATGCGGCTCTTTGTTTTGTTGCCAAAATGGCAGAACAAGCCTCTGATGTTGCCAATTTCAATTTATAAATAGTTTAAATACTATAAACTTTAATAGATAATTGTATAATTACAGTAAAAACTAAAAAATACGTATACATTGCATACAACATTTTTGTATTATAAAATATATGTCACTAAATAATTTTAGTTTCATATTATAATAATAATGAACATGGCAACCCTGCTCAGAGAAATCTATATTACCAACAGTAAAATATATACGATTTTTTATTATTTTTTAAATACTTGAAAAACCGTTTTAATAAACAAAAATTAAATAATACCAGAGATATATCTGATAATACTCAAATCTTGTTATTAATAGCGATTTTTTGTTGATATAAGAATTATTATATTATTATATTTTTCGGTCATCTATTTGAAATGTCATCTGTACAGAAGAAGAAGATAAACCTAACTTTCAGAATCTGAAATTCAGATCAATACAGTTTTTTTAAACTAAATAAAGAAACACGAAAAAATGTCGGATAGCAGTTCAGAGGATGAAAATTTGGAGCTTCTACGTGAAGCAGCGGATTCGCAATTTATCTGCGATGACATGTTTAATGATAAAAGTAAGGTTATGAAATATGTTTACATCGCAAGGTTATGATTATTTTGGTTTATAGGTAAAAATGGGGATGTAGCAGTGAAAATAGATGTTAATAATCTTCCACCGTCATTAAGGAAAAGTAAGGATGAAGATGAGCAGTTCAATTTGTTTCATGTGACACCAGAGTTTAGAAATTATGTAGCAAAGCATTTATCAAAGTTATTGGAAGAGAATTTGAAAAAAAAATTAATTAGTGTGTCTGATAAATGTGAAAAAAAGAAGAAAAGAAAAGGGGGTGTAAAATTACTGAGAAATTCTGAGGTTTTTATTAAAATATCAAAAAACAAAGACGAAGCTATAGAAAGGAAAAGAAAGGATATTTTACCTTGTGTAAGTCAGGACGTTAGTGAGAATGAATTAAAAATAATTGCTGTAAGTGGAGACGATATATTAGAAAGGAAAGGTGTGGAAAGTTGGTGTAAACGAACAAAGAAAAAACCTTTCAAGTATAAAAAAGTTAAGAATGGAACTTTTCAATATGTACCTGACACAAATATTTAAAAAAAAAGTACTTGTAATAAAAATTTAATATCAAGTATTAAATACCTACTTATTTAATTTCGATTTAAAATCAAGTAGGTATTAAATATTCATTTAATTTCCTGTGTTTAAATACCTATAATAGTAATAATAATAATAATAATAATTTTATTGGTGATAAAAACAAAGTTTTTTTACACAAGTCAAGTTTTGAAATACATAAAACAATAGGTAAACAAATACAAAATATGAACAAACATTCAACACAAAAACTATATCTAACATAAAAACTACAATCCACATTCTAAAAACTCTATGTAATACATATGCACAAAGCATGATTAAAAATTTTTTCTACTTGTGTGCTCAAAGTTGTACCTTTCCGCACTCTTACTCTGCGCACGCAAATGCGTTTGTACAGGAATGGGATTATTAAATTGTGAAGCCTTTAATAGTATTTTTATTTAAAAACAAGAAATATTGCTAAAATAATTCAATGTAAAAATATAAGTAAAACTTTCTGCACACTTGTAGGAAAATTATTAAAGTTATAAATAGGAACTGATAAAGAAAATTTCGGAAATTCCTTGCTTGTAAAAAAATAATCTTCCAACACATGCACGAAGTAATTTTTCCGCGCAATTGCAGTAGCGTGCGGAAAAAACTACGCACTTGTTGGGAAAATAATTTATTACCTACCTAACCAGTATATTTTTTTACAACTGTGCAAAATTAGTTAACTACCTATATAATAATAAAAATATACAAAAGAAATTTACAAAGTTTTTGGACCTCCATAACTGAAAGAATTTTGACAATACTACATTATTAATATTTTTCTGTGAATCACTTGTTCCGGAAGAACATACCATTGCTTGTTTCTCAGAGTTTTGGGACATTCTTAATATTTTTCGATATATCCCAAAAAAATCGATATATTTGTTTTATCGGTATAAAAACTCAATCAAAATTTTGTATTTACCTACCCGTATTTTTTTTTAATTCAAGCATTTTGCAGCTTGTCTTTGAAAACAAGGAACTCCGTTTCTGCCGTTATCGTTCTGAGCAGGGTTCGATTTAAATCAAGTGATTTTTTTATTTTAATCGATGATTTAAATCAGTTTTAAAAAAGTTTCTAAAATCTAAAAAAACAATTAAAGGATCTAAAATTAAAGCACAATATATTATAATATATTGACACTATAGACCAGGGTCGATAATTTTTGATACCAAAAAAAATAACAGTAGGATGAAACCCATTGGAAAAGGAGAAGAATATAATAAAAATGAAAGGAAAAATAAATTACGGGCGATCTGACTTCGGGAAGTGGGAGGGGGGGGGGTTAAGGGTAAAAAATCGTTTATCTCGATTTCCGGCAAAACTACAAGTCCTATGGAAAAAAGTTAAATGTCAAAGTTGTAGGTAATAAAAAGATCTACAACTTTTGTATTTACAATTTTTTCACATAACCTCAAAATTTATGTGAAAAATTCAAAAAACCAAGTTTTTGGTTTTTTATTTTTATCTTTTTCAAAAAAAAAATTTTTTTACACGAAATTTGGTGAAAACTTACCTTTTTATGTCCCAAATACACTGTAATTTATTTGATTTGAAATATTTATTATTTCGCCTTATTTTGACTTAATATCAAAAAAGCACCCTAATTTTCAATCGAAAATTCTCGCGTCAAAATATCAGCTTTTTTCAAAAAGTCGGTGTGCTTTTTGTTCGATGAACTCTCTACTTTCTGATGGTGTAAAAAAATATACATTACTATGGTAAATGTAGTTTTGCCGGAAATCGAGATAAACCATTTTTTACCCTTAAAAACCCCCCCCTCCCACTTCCCGAACTCAGAACGCCCGTAATTTATTTTTCCTTTAATTTTTATTATATTCCCCTCCTTTTCCAATGGGTTTTATCCTACTGTTATTTTTTTTCTCTTTTTACCATTTTTAAAGGCTTCTGCACTGGTCTACTATTTAAATAAATTCATATGCATAGAAAAACTGCTTATTTTGTTAAATAAAATATTGAAGGAATATACAAAAAAATATATGACAGTTGCGGACGGTGGTTTATTTGTTTATAAAGAATTGCTAAGATAGTATTATTATTGTCAGTTAAGGTTTTAAAATGTTGGAAAAAAAACCGGAAAAATTGTGAAAAAAAACCGTTTTTTTGGTTCACACCAGCCTTAAAAAATATGCGCGATACTCTTTGGCTAATACAAGACTCAGTTAAACTTTTTCAAACACAAGGCAATAAAAATATATTAAAAATATTTAGAAACAAATACCAAAACCAATTAAAAATCGCCAAAAAAACCGCATATGATATTTTCATTAAAAACTCCCAAAGCTATGTGGAACTTGGTTAACATACACAAAAACCAGCCCAATAGTAATGATACTATTAAAATAGATTCTGATCGATTTAATGATTTTTTTCCAACATACCCAATCAAATTATTAATAATTTGGTACCAACTGATCTCGATCCACTTCAAATAATGCCCTTAAATAATTTAAATATATACTTTTAGAGAAGTGTCTTACAATGAAGTTCGTGACTTGATCTCTGGACTAAAACCTAATCACAGTAAAGATATTTATGCACGATGACATTATAATATGACAATTATAACAAAAATTCTTTGACGTAAACGTCTTTTTATAGCCCGCGGGCTTTATTATGTCCCAGCGGGCTATAATGAAACGTCAAAAATTAAAAACAACAATGTTACACCATTTGATATATTCGAAGTAAGTTTTTTCGTATAAAGATTTTGATTTTACCGGCAGCAGGCCGCAATTTTTCGCCTTTTCAGCTGCTTCCTCAATTTCATTTATCTTTAAACTTTAAAACTGACTGATGTCAGTTGACATTATAATATGACAATTATAACAAAAATTCTTTGACGTAAACGTCTTTAAAAACAATAATATATTAAAAATAATAATATATTAATCGTGCATAAAGTTTTGTATGCATTGCTGGCATAACTGGTTTTTATGGTCCTACGACGCTTTTCTAGCCCTCGCGCTAACGCGCTCGGGCTCGAAATAGCGCCTCGGACCATAAAAACCTTATTATGCCCTTAATACATAAATAACTATTATTTCCACCTTCATAGTAAATGACATTTTATAGGTTAATTTTGTTGTTTTTGTATCTATGTAAATGATACATTATGGAAACAGACCTGTAATATTTTACGGGCTTGTATAAAGGACCTGTAAAGTTTTACAGGCTTGTAGAAAAGCAATTTATGTAATGAAATGTCACATTTGACATATTAATTAATATTTTAAATTTGAAAATCGTTATCTAAAGGTGAAAATAAAAGTTTGTACGTGTCACGCTTTGCAATTAATCTTTACTAGACTCACTGGATTATGGTGTTCGCTCCTGCGTCGCTCACCCCACAAACTTTCAGCTCGCCCGTAAAGATTCATTTACAAAGCTTGACACGTAAATAACTATTATGGGTTAAATGTGGGTCTCATCAAAACTTTAATAGATGTACTATTTATCCCTCTTACAAAACTAATTAACTTAAGCATTAATTCTAAAATCTTTCCTAAGCAATTGTTGTCCCAGTATACAAAAAAGGTGATCGAAATCAGTTTAATAATTACCGTCCTATTTCGCTTTTACCAATCCTCTCAAAAGTATACGAAAAACTTATCTTTAAACAAATTTTGGAATATTTCCAATCTTTTAAATTATTTACAGATAAACAATTTGGTTTTCGTAAAGGCTTATCCACAAACGATGCCATTTTATCATTTATTTCCGAAGTGAATAACTGCTTCCAGTCCAGCGAATATTTGATAGGCACATTCTTAGACCTGAGTAAGGCTTTTGATTGTGTATCGCACGAAATTCTAATTAGAAAATTATATTGCTACAATTTTCACCCTAACAGTGTAAAATTGATAAGCTCATACTTATCTTCAAGACAGCAAATAGTCATACACAATGGTTCTGAGTCCAAACCTTCTCAGGTAATTCATGGTGTTCCTCAGGGTTCGATCCTGGGACCTCTATTATTTCTAATATTTGTCAATGATATACCAAACTATCTATCTTTACCAAACAATATAACCTTGTTTGCAGATGACACCTCATTTGCTGTAAGAGGTAAAAAATTAGAACTTGTGAATCAGAATAGTTGCGCTACACAATCGAAAGCCCTCCAATGGTTTAACACCAACAAATTAAACTTAAATGTTGAAAAGACGGTCAATATAATATTCACTTTAAAAAATATCCCAAATTTCAAAACAAATCTTGAACTGACCGAACATACAAAGTTTTTGGGTATACATATAGACTCTAAGTTATTATGGCATAACCAAGCTGAAGCTGTTGCTAAAAAATGAACTTCTAATATATTTTTATTGCGAAATCTTGCTCATATTCTGTCCAAATCTTACTTAAGAACAGCATATTTTGCACTTGTTGAGTCAACACTTAGATATGGCATCTTATTATGGGGCGCATCTAGCTCCAAATCCCGAGTATTTAGTCTTCAGAGACGTGCAGTTAGAACTATTGCGAATATATCTTATCGATCGGAATGTAAACATCACTTTATTCCATTAAAAACTCTTACCTTTCCATGTTTGTTTATTTTTGAATGTCTAATTTATATTAAAAAAATCTACAAATTTACAATAGCCAGGACACTGTACATGGCTATCCTACTAGAAACAGACGGGATATTTGTCTAGAAAGGAATAGATTAAATAGAACCAGGAATGGACCTAATTTTTATTGTATACGTTTTTTTAATGTTCTACCTTTAGCTTTTAGAAACTTGGAAATAAAACATTTTAAACCTAAATTAAAATACTATCTTATTAATAAAGCATTTTATTCAATGGATGAATTCTTATCCAACAATTTTTGTGATTTATCCTAATCTAGTCGTTTTTATGCAAATCATCTTGTCTGTAATTGTATGTATACATACAATTACAGACAAGATGAAATATTACACAGATAAAGGTAA